AACATGTAAAAGTATCACATACTCATATATGTATGTGATTTTATTGTCTCGAACACAATTATATTAGCACTGTCACAACTATACGGATTGTCTTACAGAACCTATAATTTGTATCTTGCACTATAATATAGTTGTTGAGTCAATCGAATGTGTAAACAACTTGAAATACGACTTGCTAGCTTAACATTGTTACTCAACATGTTTAAATTCTACTTTTTTTCAATTTCGAATTTTTTTCTGCTCTAGTGATTTATTTATCAATATTTTACTTGATCTTAGCCATGTCAAAAAGTATCAATGAAAAAATTTGCTGACCTATGAATCAATTAGCATTCATATCACGAACACATAAAAGGTGTTCACTACGTTTTAACTCGTATGAAAAGTATTACCTATTTTATGGCTCATTAATAGAAATGACTGATATTGACACTATATATATGTAGGTGATATCTCTACATGTCATATACCAGAATTTGCAAAAGTTCGGTTGAAGTTAAAACTTTTTTCGAAAAACTATGATCGTAAGAACTGAATAAAAATGGAATTACAAATTCGGTACTATTCTGAAATTGCTTAGTCTCTCTTTTAATCTCCAACAGATTTTTCCTTGACTTCACCAATCATTTGCAAGGTCTTTACTTCTAAAAGCTGAAATACAAATATAGAGACTTTGAAAGAAATTAAATGTAATTGTTGAATTCAGTGTAAAAACCTGTTGAAGAGTAAAATTGAAACCAGCCTATTTCGGCATAGTTTTCAATTTCTAATTCCATTCTTATTTAGTCAAGCAGCCTTAAATTGCTGCTTGCGACCGTAGTGTTTCAAAAGAAAGCCTAGCTTCAACCAAACTTTTACGAATGTTCAAATTTCTGAATATATGTACGATTAAAAATTATCTATGAAATGTTGAAATTCTTTTATCTTTGTAATAATATGAGTTAATATACAGCTTTTTCATTGATGAACCGTGTAAAAAAGAGTAATACTTTTCATATTGATCAGCACTTAATAAACATCATTATACAACGATCAAACATCACTTGATTGTGAATCGAGTCGTATGTTTATTCTTGAAAGTACATGTACCGCGGACTCTTCTGACTATCTTGACAGAATAGTAAGAATCAAACAGATCGAAATTGAGTTGAAGTAGACAATAGAAATATTGATAGTTTTCTATTTTAAATCACTTACAGATAGTTTTTTTTTTGTTTGCATACGTTCAGAAAAAAACATATCCTACTCAACCTTTTTCACAATAAATTCTAGCTAATATATGAAAAACCATAGATTACAGAATAAGAACAGCCACATTTCAACAGATTTCGAGAATATTGTCAGAGCTGAGAAAACTTACAAAATATTTTATACAGTTTCAAAGTGTATTCATATCACAGAGAATGCTCTGTTATAGTAATATACGTTATTAAACATCGTAAAAAAACGTCTACAAAGTTCAGAATGAATGATGCGTTTATGAGCTCATATGTAGTCATTTAATATTGTAAATATGGATCAGATTGTGAGCAAGTGTTGATCATTTTTTGTTCCGCAGAAATTACAAACTTTTGATAATGGGAAATTTCTTTTATAGTTTAATTCAATTATTAAAACTAAGTAGTTGTCACAATGAGTGCATTGAAAGCCATATATTTTGCAAGTTTCTAGAATAGAAAGAGCTGTGTGAATTTCTTTGATTATTTAATTTTTGCGAATATTCCGAGATTAGACAGTCCGTAGTATTACAATGTTTGCTTTTTAATTTGAAGTCGAGGACTTTCGAATTCAGAGAAGTTTGTTAAATATCGTACTATTTTCTTTAGAATTGGAAAATCAGAACTGTTTTAATACTTCGAAATGTTCGTATGTCGAACATTCATCATTTTGGAGAGACTGCTGTCAAACAGAAATGTCTCAATGTGAATTGGGTCGAGATTTCAGGGTTAACAAGTTTTAAAATGTCAAATTGAATGAATATTAAAGTTTAGTATCAACAATGTTTTTTTAATACAGTGATGTCAGTGATTTTCGAAACATGCTATTGACTTGTATTGTGGTAGTGGCAGCATTTAAGCTTGATAGATATCTCTAAAACTCAGCCATCTAGTCTATTATTTTATTCTTAAAAACGATTCGCCATGGGAGTTAGAGATTCTATGAGCTTGATGGATAAAGTTGTAGTCCTACTTTGATCTTTCTAATCTTGTGTAAACAAGAGAGAATTTAGATTAGATTGAAGATGAGCATATGTACAGTTATTTTCCAAAAAAAATGTTCTAAAATAGGAGTTCTTTTTTTCTGTTTTTATATTATGTGAAACAACGATTGACATCATTTCTTTTGGTTATATAATTCTTCGAGAGCTGGTCGAAGCAATGAAGTTATGAAAATGCTATTGTTTTTGCTTCGAATGCATAGAAATTAAAAATATCACTCGGCTTTCTTTTTAAAAACTGTTACATATCCATATTACTTTATTGAAGCAAAGCTGTCAGATCGACTAGCATTATATGAAGCATGGAACAAAGACTTCTATGATGACTCTCAATTCATGATATCAACTTTCCTTTTTCTATAAAATTTCGCCAAAACTTGTGTTTGAAACAAGGTCATAGGTTCAGATAATCGAGCGATCAGCTAAAAGCTGCATCTAAATTAGACAGAAAATATTTGACTTATTGGAAAACATAAAGTTAAAAGTAGAAAATCCAAAAAAATATTATACTCTTTATGATCTATCATTTCGATAAATATGATTATTTATTGAGTAAGAAAACTAAATAGTTTGTAAAACAACAACAGAATTTAAATTTTACTGCTATCATTTTTTTTCTTTTATCATTCAAACTAAAAGAACATAAACTAAATTCATGAAATGCGCCCAGTGCCACTAATATGATCCAACTAGAAATTTTATAGGGTAGAATTCAACACATTTTTTGTTATAATTTCGTCGATGAAAGGTAAAAGAATATTGAGTACAAAGTATTACTAAATTTGAATGTAATAGTAAGCATTTTATTTCTTGGAAGAAGTGTGTCAATAGCAATAGAATATGAGAAATTTAGACTGTAGGTTGACCACTGAATAAGTAGAGCCATGTATAGATTTTATTGTTTAATCAAGAACCCATCTTTTTTCTGCTAAATTTCATCGAATTGAATTTTCTTTTACTTATCATTTAATTACATGTACTAAGTTTCTATGTAACAGAGTGCGATTTGATTGTCACAAGAAAGATGTAGCATCTAATCACATTTTCTGCAAGCAGTTGTGAACAAAACATAAAAATTGAGGATTTGTCAAAGACAGATATTTAATAGGTCGGTCAAATTATCATCCAACAGATTTCCAATTGAATTCCATTGGTTTCTTATTTTAGTGTAACTAATATTGCAATTCTCTATTCTACCGAATACCTCAATATAAATCAAAAACTTGGTAAATTAGATTAAACTCGAGAAGGACGATTGACGGGCACGATTTATTCTAGATTTTATCTAGTCGTAATAAGTTCTATTTAACGAATAAAGTTTCATATAACGTAAGATTATCGACCATCTTATCGTACTGAAAAGTCAAAGTTAAAATCGATTAACATTAAACTTTTTTTGTCGTATGGTAATCGATTGGCATCTGACTATAATTTGCTCAAAAAGACTATTTCCAATCGATGTTAATTTTTGATTTTGTTGTAGAATAATCAAATTTAATGGATAGAAGTTTTTATTCTGTATGAAACGATATATTTCGATGATTCGTAACACACTGTAATTTATTCTATTGTTATTTTTTATGCGTACATTCGCTAGAAAACGCTGAGAGCAACACAAGAAGTTTAACTTTACTAGAAAGAGTTGTTCGAGATGTAGCTGTGCGAAATTAACATTTTTTAAAACCGTTTGCGACAGTTAATTAGCATAGACGAATGAATAGAAACGTTAATGAAGTTAACAGAAGATGATTTCTGTTGTACGTCCCATCATCATTAACGATCACTTGAAAAGATCTTTTAGGACGAAGATAGTCTAAAGAGATTTTGAGATCTTTTATTAGAAAGAAAAGAGCAAGATGAATTCTTTCTTAATTGCCTTTCGTTCAATCGAATATATATAGATAATGATAGATATTTAACAACAACAAAAACATTTCGAGTACGAAACATACAATACTGCGTCGGCTTACTCAGCGCTTTTAAAAACGAAAGTAGTAAAGCATCGGAGATAATTGGTTGTTTTCTTATGGATAACAACTCCAAACCTATATTTACTTGACCGAAATTAACAACAATGACATGGTTTTATAGTCTCTTGTAATGACAAGTTTTCAATTGGAGCACGGAACCATTACACCTTTAATCATGATCAATCAATTTGTACCGAAGTTTTGGAAACATTTTTTAATACATAAACAACTCAGAGTGAATAATTCGTCATAAAATTAATGTTTGAACAAGCGTCTTTTTAGCTAAGCCTATAGATTTATTTCTCTCCATTGTTCTCTAAATTCTTTGAGAATACAGCTGTGTAATACCTGCGAAGCTAATACCATCAGTGTTTGATGGTTTTGTTTTAAACTTGTAATAGAAAAAAGATGCCTGTAAACTGTTACATTTTGATGAAATTTATTTTTTGAAAACTGATAAAAAACTTAGACAACAAAGAAGTGATGGGTAAGGTAATAGTGTAAATTCAGTATTGAATGAATCTATCATATTAGCAATTCAATATAAAAATTAAAAATTATTTTGATAGTGTCATGATAAGATGTCTTCATATGAATATTAAAACTAACATTACGCATATTGTAGATCTTTAAACTTACAAAAGATCATATAAAGCAATGTAAAAAGAGTTCAATGTCCGTAAAAGTTGATTATTTTTCACGAAACAAAAAGATCAAATTTGGCAAAAACAATATTATAAAAGTTGCCGTTTATTACTTTTCAGATATTTATTATTTTAAAATTTCGTGAAGAATTTCCGTTCTGTTGAAAAATGGCCACTGGAGGATGGGAAGAAGCAACAGCACAGCGCATTTTGCGCATTACAGACATTGCTCATGAGCCACTTCAATTTATTGCGCCCATCGGTGGCTATGAAGAAATGCCACTTGTTCCACTTGAAATAGCTGTTGAACCGCTTGTTCCTATTCTACCAGCTGTTGAAAGTCATGCATATGTTGCCAAACAAAAATGTAAGAATCCTGCCGATTACTTGACACAAGATGAATCCGCCTCAATTATGTTGTACACGATGGGATGGAAGCCACTTGATAAATGCTTATATTTCGTTTTGAATAATACATTACGATCACCAGATCGACAAGAAAAGCTCGAACCATGGTATTTATTTCTGAGACTCTTTCTAAATGCACTTTTTCGCCTTCCGTCGCTTGCTAAAACTGCGTACAGGGGTGTTAAATTAGATCTGAGCCAGCGCTACATCAAAGGAGAAACAATCGTCTGGTGGGGTTTCTCATCGTGCACAACAGCTGTTGATGTTCTAGAATCGAAGTCATTTTTGGGAAAGACAGATGACAGAACAATGTTTACCTTACAATGTCAATCAGCTAAAGATATTCGTAAACATTCGTATCATCCAGCTGAACATGAAGTACTTCTTATGGCTGCAACTCAATTCAAAGTGGTCGGTTGTCTTAATCAAGGTAAGCTTCACATTATTCAATTGGAAGAAACTCGTCCACCATTCCCCCTTTTACAACCAGTGCCTACTGTGACTCCATCATTGATCAATCCAACACCCTCAGGTGAGTAAAAATCAAAACATAAGAATATTCCACTTAATAAATAACGTTCTAACTTTCGATACCAAGGAGAAAATCAAGAATTGCGTCTCTCAGTTAATGCACGCATCATAAAATGTGAACACGAAGAATCGATTTATTTCAAAACATTAGAAAAAAATTCTTCATGATAATTTTCGATTAAACTTAATGGGATTTTTCGTTTCAAAGAATGATTTTTCATAAAAAGTCGATTTTGTCCAAGTAATCGATTAAAAACCTCATCAACTTCAACCAATTTTGTGATTTATTTATTGAACTCTGTTTTCTCTCGTAAAATCTAAATAATTAGTTTAAGTTGATTTGTTTTCCAAAACGATGGAAATCTATTGAACATTTTCATCTCTTGAAATTGATTAAAATAAAATGATAACCGATTGAAATATTTTCTTTAGGGTATACTTCCTTTTGTAATTCTTAAATTTTTTAATCTTTTGGTTTTCATGTGAGAGCAGAAAGGGGAGACGTAGATCAAAATCGAAAACATGTTTAGTCAAATGCATCAGTGTTCCGACGCTGTAGAAATTGAGTGAATGTAATGTCAATTTTTTTCCTTAAGTAAAAAATCTACAACAACGCTATCTCTTTCGATCAACCTGTAGATAAAAATTACAATTTTAGATAAGTTAATAAATTCACAAAGAACGCGAAAATCTGACATCTTCAAATGAAACACTCCCTTACTCAGCCACTCGCAATCTCATAGTTTTCGCTCATACAGACACCCTCATTCTCATAGAAACCTTCTTTGTCTTCTATTGCTGCTGATGACACTTGTCTTTGCTTTGAATAAACCATCAAAGAGTAAAAGGATATTAAATTTTATAGGAAATGCCCCTAAAAAACAACTATTAAGAAACGAATAATTGTCTTGTATTGTAGTTGCTTTGACAACGACTGCTGCTGGCATCACCAAAACAAACAAAGATACACATTCCGGCAAAGTTCAAGTGATTCAAATAATTTCTTAGTGCCTTTTTTTCTTCATATATATCTCTTTTCGTTCATAGAGCAATCCACCTGCAGCAGCCGCCGCCTGCAGTGCCGGAAAGACTGGAATAAGCTCCATCACCAACCAAGTAAGACGATAATCACTCTAGAAAATTGATATTTGTCGAACATCTTATACTTTTAGATATCCGCCATTAAAATCAACACTTCAGCAAATAAAGGTAGGATATCGTTGATTACCGCCTTGAAAATGAACATGATTAATTATCGTGAAAGTTATGTGAATAAAATCATGGTCATCTCTCAGAATCACTGATATCGTCATTCGACAATAAATAAGGTTTTTGTTTTCGTTCACTCTCTGAAGAACACCAATCTAGGTTTGATTGTTTCCTCATCAAACAACGACTGTACATATAAGGGTTCTTCGAGAGTAACGGCTAACAAAATTTTCTTGATACTATCTTGGTTTAGAAGCGTATTTTTTCTTTTTCTCTTGGAAAAAATATATTGTAGTCACACCACGGTCAATTTTTCTCGCAACCATGTAGACAGAACAGGTGTTATTACTTATGCTACCGTTTTGGATTGTGCGGTAAAAGAAGAGAGAATAGAAAAAATCTATTATAAGAAACAAACTCGTATAAACCAATGGAGTACATTATCTCATGAGTGTCTTGGTTAAAATAAGCTACATTTCCATGTCATATGTAGAAATGCACATAGTTTTGTCTTATTTATTAGAATCAATCAGATTCTGTCTCGTATTTAACCTGGTTCCATCCATATTTTAGTGAGATCATGAACGTTTATGTGATCAGCGATTCAAAACTCTCTATAAACTTAGATTAAGAAAATTACTCATTTGCATGGCAAATTCTACGAGTTTTACCGTGGTCAAAGGCAGCAACGCGTATTAACGTTAAAAGATCAATGAATAACACAAATTTTTGAGTTCTTTTTAACGCTTTCCACAATGTTCACCAATAATTTGCTATTTTCCAGATTGTTAAGCAATTGAACACGTTCACTCGATCATCAGAGGCCTGCCGTTTTGATTATTAAAAAAGAACAAAAGCAAAAAGCTTCAAACTTCTGTTCATGCAAAGTATCTTAGGAATCGGTGACTGAACAATAGTCAATATAATAGTTAATATAGTAAATTTTTACTAGAAATTTCTAATTTATCTTCCTTTCTTCGAAAGCGAACGCAACAAAGTGAAAGAACGAATGAATCATGATTGTTAATTAGATGTATAGTGCTTTTCATTGATAAAGAGAATCATATTGAGCTGAAACTTTGTGTAAATATTAAGATTGTCCAGTTGCAAATAAAAAAGAAACTTCAGCTTTATATATCGTTCTTAATGGGAACTAGGGCAATTTCAATACATATATTCCTAAAAAAAAGATAGTTATAATTAGTATTGAATATATCGTCATTATAAAAAAAAACATTTTAAGAGAATACTAATTACATATTCTGAAAGCACTCGGAGTCTTTTGTCGCCTCACATATTCATGTTTTAGTTTAACCTGATGTACTTTCCCAATAGATAAGCACGAAAAATCTACATTTTTTCGCTGCCTTTTTAGTTTTAATTTTGAAATTATAGATACTATAATAATAAATTTTGATAGAGCTTCAGATTCTCTGTCATTCGATACATTTTCGTTGTCTTATATTTATGTGTTGAAGAACAATTCGAATATAATACATTCACCCTCCTTGACAGATTCAAACAAAACTGGATTGTCTCCTATCATTTTCATTTTCATTTACTCTGACCTTTTGAAATAAAAAACGAAGCGGACAGTTAAAAGATTAATTTATTTTTGAGGATTTACCAAGGAGGGCACCTGAATAATAGTAGAATTATTTTTCAATACATACAGCTGTTTTCAAAAACACTTGCATTAATAAATCTACATACTATTTTCTCGGAATAAGTTTATTTCTGCTGTTTCTCGTATGGTTAGGCAGCCCACAAAAAAATACTACATATGGATGTATTTTGATTTATTTTCTATCCGTCTTTAAAAGAAAAAAAACGATATAACAGTTTCAATTGGAATTACCAAACAACATTACATGATCATATAGTAATCTTGCAGTGAAGTTATATTACCGATCGGAAAAACTAGAAGACGGTGTGGGAAGTATTAATCACAACATTAAAAGTTCGAAAGTTTGTTAAAACTAGTGTTCATATTGAGAATATTTAATTGAACTTGTTTTGAGCATTTCTGAATGACATAAGTAGGAAAAAAACGTCACAAACAATTTTTGAAAAAAGTGTAAACTTTTTTTGTTACTTCCAATTGAAACGGCTATACCGTTTGGTTTTTCTTTTGAAGATGTATAGAAAATAAATCTAAATACATCCATACGAAGTATTTTTTGTGGGCTATCTGACCATACGAGAAACAGCAGAAATAAACTTATTCCAAGAACATAGTATTCAGACTTATGAGTGTTAGTTTTTTTTTAAACAGCTGTAAATATAAGACTAAACAAAAATATATCGAATGATAGAGAATTTGAAGCTTTATCAGAATATATAACAGAGGTGCACAATCTGCCGCAACAATAAAACTTTCCCTCGCTATTTAATTCAATACGAAATTCTTTTAAAAGATTTTGGAATTTTTCTTGACAGGGAAAAGTAACGAATGCCCCATAATAAATGAATGATTTACAGAATCCACTCAAGTGACAACTGAAAACAGAATAGAAATAAAATTTTCCTTTTCTCCGCTGTAATTTTCAAAACGATTTTATGAGCAAACTGAGCACCTCTTCACACCCCAATTTGATATATATACAAGTTTTTTCCATAATGTTCTCATATTTCATCTTTCACTACAGTCTACATAAATGTTCCTGGATCCTACAGGATATTTTCGAAAAACAAAATCATGATTCTTCAAATAATTCCTATTTTTTTCGACTTAGAAACGTTTTTATTCAATAAACAGATCATATTCAGAATTAGCACAAGATATTGCCTCGAACCATATACGATACAATTATTTTATAGATAGATGTTAGTTCGCAAGTTTTTTTATTCCTGAGCAAAACACTCTGACCAGTGCTAAGAATGAGCACACGTTGATACAAATCTTCTTTTTACCCATAGAAAAACAGGAATTCGTTTATCTAACGAGATCAGAACTAAAATTCGAACAAGTGTTAAAGTCATTAATGACAGAAAATAAAAGTACAACACGTACTATGGGACACTCATTACTTTTCAAAAAAATTTTCCGAATAATTGTTCGCGCATGCTGTTAGATTCTACACCTTTGGGAAATATACATTCCAGTGTCTGTGTCAATTTCTCATTCAGGTATATTTATCTAGTCTTTCTTGAGCAGATTTGAATTTCGAACTTCAAGTATATCTACATAATTTATTTCGATTTTTTTCCAACATTGAAAAACTTGGTTTTTTTTTGTTTAATTTCGATGAGTAAACCATCCAAAACATTGGTAAACTACGTTAATATTTCAAATACTTTTTTCACAATAATTATTTTTAGATTGAAATAAATATCAATTCGAAATAGACACA